CAAGTTCCTTGGGTCTCAAGAGCCTTTTAAGGGCCTTTTGAAAATATTAAAATGGGTGATATCACTGGCAACATTTGAGAACGGCTCAAATCTGGCGCACTAGTGACTTTTTTTCCAGCGACACGGCGTGAATAGTCCTAGTTTACGGTGTGATTCGCGGCGGTCTTCTTTCAGCTTGGCTTCTTCTTCGTTCAAGCATATTGGATGTGTGTTGTGTGGTGGTGAAATAAATGTATCTGTCACTGCGATTTACTTTGCTCGCCATGATCTTTCTGGACAAAAAGGAGCAAAGTTTTCTTACATGCAATGGAAAACGTACATTCAATCAGATTTTTTTTTAGAATTTGCTCGATCGTTCGAATTAAATCTTTCGTTGATTTTGGCAGGTCATAAATCAACTTGCCTGTAGCCATTCATATGACGTTCAGCCAGCTAACATTTCAAGGACATTCGTTCCCCATTCTCGAAAAAAGGCGAGACAATCGGACGGAAAATATTCGAATACGGCGAAACACAACGCATGCTCTACGAGACATAATCAGAGGTGGAGCCATCATTTAAGAGATCATACATTCGAATATTAGGTTAAATTACCTAAGATATTCGAACATACGTACATCACTTTCCCGACCATTTTGATGCTATGGCAAGATCAAGGCATAGAATTACCCTGCCGTCATTGGGTGACTTAACGGGTCCGAAAGGATGCATGGCTTAAGTTATTTGTTTAAATCAGGCATTCTTTCTCTAATGAGGATGATTTTGAGAACTTTTTGTTCGCACGTTTTTTGCAATCCGTGAGTTTTCGGTTAGGTGAGAGCGTCAGAGTTTTTGTTGTGGGTTTTGCGCATGTGCTGGTCTGGTGTTCCCTTCTGCTGGTGCATTGCCATGCGTCTTGATAGAGATGTCGTGATCATTCCAACACGGGTCGAGCTGCGGAGCTGACCACGAGAAAGGGCCATACCAAAAGCGCAACACGATATTTGGTTCAGCAAACATTTCCAGCTTATGCTGCCATCTCTCGACGAGCTTGGAGTGCTGCAAGTAAGTGGTAATCTCGCACGGCTGGTCTGGCGGTGCCTCAACGTGATGCAAACGTCCCAGGATCCAATCAAGAAAAGTTATGACCGTATATTGATTCACCCTATTTAATACTCAGGGAACACCTTAACTTTTTTCCGGGCAAGGTGCCACGTGAGTAGAACATAAGGGGCACATTGTGTGTCCCGGTCAGGGGTGAAGGGTCGTTCTGCCCCAGCCCAAAGTGCCCACCGGCTGCCTTCCTAGCGATACAGGGACGGGGTCGCCTGGTCGGCTCAGAGGCCCTTCTAGAGATCAGTCATACTTTGATCGCCTACCTGACGACGGAGGCCCCCTGGCCCCGGCATTTGAACCCAGACCGACGCAGGGGCTTTCATCGACGCAAAACAGATCCCTTATCGACGCGGGTGTCCAAAAATTGGCACAGAGACTCAAGTTCAGCATAACGGGCCGCTGGCTTGCATGGAATTGGTAGCTCCGCGTTCTTTAACGGAAGCCCTCACTGACGCATGGCTCTCCGTTGTCTCATTGTGAACTCTCTCAGAAAACTATTATATCCACTTTCATTGTCGGAGGTCTCCAACCAGCGCAAAAGGCGCTCCAGCATTCGGAGTCCGGTCTCTGCTCCTGTTCAGCAAATGTTACCTTGGCCAACTCTGGGCCCCCTCCCTGGACTCCTTGCTGGTACAGGACCCTTGTTATGCACTGTGGTCCCCAGTTCGATACAGGCGCCCCTTCATTGTCACAGGGGCCCGGCCGATGTACGTTGCGGATCCCGGCCTTCACCCTGCTTGGGAAATGGGCTCCGAGTCCCAGACCCGACGCTGGAGTAATCTGCCGGCGAATCGGTCACGTGTCACTCTCGTTAAGCCTGCACTACAGGGATGTAGTTTCGCAGAACGTAGTGTGGTGCTGAACGGGGAAAACCTAGCCAAAATACACTAAAAAAGGTTTCGTCCCGGATCGAATCCAAATTCTTCTCAACGTAATGGAGTTCAAACCAGCACGGAGCCATCACGTCCACCTCCCAAACGACCAGGTTGGAGGATGTACACCGCAGAACTATCCAATTTTTTCATAAAATTCGTCTCCCCGTGACTGATTTGCCAAGAGCTTAAGTTTTCAGCTTGCGCTCAAGCCCTGAACAGGTTTGGAGGCTTAACGAAAGAAGCTGTGTAGAGACGAGCATCACCATTATAAAGGGCTTATTTGTGCTTATCTATAACTGCCTGTGGTGGGATTTCTGACCACTGGTTGACATCCGGAGTACAAAAAGATAAAGACAGCCCGGCAATTAAAAGCTGTAAGTCTGGCATATAAAGGTCAGAAATTCGGCAAAAAAAAAACGAAAAGAAGTTGCTAGAAATAGCTAAATACCGTTCGATTCACTGCGACAAGAACACCAGGAGTCTGGAGACGCATGAGCCAATTAATTTGGCCCGGCAAATTAACGACAAGCATCGATGGGGGGAACAAAATCACCAATGAGTTGAAATATAGCTTATCATTTTTCACAATGCCGTCGGTTAAAGCGCACCGAAACCCATTAACATGTTGTTTTATCCGCCGGAATCAGCGGATTGACTGACTCTGATCTCCTTTGGCCGGTATGGTACTTTCAGTTGTTCTTGCGCCATATCGGTAGATCGGTTGACAGTGCTCTCTGTCTCTATTGCTCGGCTGGGACGTTCCGGGCCTCGTGTGGTGTCCGGTAGTTGGAATGTAGGGGCACGACGTTTTGCCGCGATTTTGTCAGTTTTTAAGCCAGGTAGCTGCGGCACCACGAGGTGGAGTGTGAGTAGCGTGATCGTGGTGGAGCGTGAGAAAGTGGTCGCCGGTGGCACATTCATTGCCATTTGTTATGCCATTTAAACCCTGCTCAGCGTCAAACTTATGTAGCGAAACTACGTCACTCAGTAAGGGACTTGTCGGTTCCTTTAAGAGAACCACATAAGATGCTTAAATTTATTTACATTGGACCGGTGCCACCGGCCGCGATAAAGGTCAGATGACATCAGAGAGCAGGACGGACCGTGCCTGGCACTGCCGCACGTTAAGCTTTCGCCACCAAATTCCGTCGCTCCCCTGGAATTATGCGACCGGATGGTAGGGATCACGGCTCGCTCAACGAGTACTGCTCAGCGTGCAATCTGATTCCAGAAATCCATACATGCAAAGGGTTCAGATTAAATCTAAAACGTACAGCAATACTGGAGAGAGAAAGACTTGCCTAAATCCGTGGTATAGTAGCCTTTTTCACAGATTGCCCACTCATCCATATGTGTACATGTGTTTCATATTGAGTTTGGAGCTGTGCTCTTTCAGTGTACTATGTTTAATGCTGATGTTTTATTTCATTGGAGGTGCTTTTACATGAATTGATGTGTATAAAATGTGACCCTTCTGTAAAGTACCACTCATCGTACTGTAATCTCCAATGCTGCTCTAGATAACAGTGTAATGAGTTGCAGCACCTCAAAATTTTGTACTCCATTTTGAAAAGCTGTACTCCGCCACCAGGATATTTAATAAATTTCCAGCCCTGCGTTGATGCGTGGTCTTAAATTAATTATATTAGGTATATCTACAGTTCCATTTTGCGACATGAGTGTTGGTTTCATTACTTACCTGCCTCACGGGATTTAGTATGAGCATGCCAATGTGCCGACCAAACATCCACCCGTTCAATAAATATTTGCATGTCTCTTTCAGTGCTGCCACCTATAGATCACTGACTGAGGTGAAGTCGCAGCGAATTTATGAGCCGTCCATATCTGTAAATAGCGAGTTGGTGTGGCACTTGTACGTTGTTATTCCTAATGCTTAAAACTTCAAGCCAGGGGCGTTTTTTTCAAAATGAATCGGGAGAAGTAGTAAGCAGTCAAAACATGACGCCACCTGCCCCAAAATGCAACGTACAGCCTGGTGCTTCCCGCATTTGGCCCACGTCCTTCTCAAAGCTGGGGGCTCGCAGGGGGAGGGGTTAAAGCCGACCCAACTGAATTTGAAGCCACACCTCCGCTGGGAAACATACGTCTGGTAAGTCATGTCAAACAAATGCAAACTTCCAGCAAGTCGGCTCTGGGTAGGGAGTTCGGTATCGGAGGTATTCACTTTGTCCGACAGGTGGCGGTGTGAAGTAGAAATCTGTGTAGTGTTTCGGTATTTTTATATTGCTGTCACTAATCGTGTTGCTTTTCCTTGCATCATAAATTACAACGCAAAAGAGCATCGGCGATATGCTGGCATGTGGTATTAGTTTGTGGGCGACCAAGCAGACTCGTTGATTGTAAGGTTATCACGATCGCCACGGTATGGTGTCGTAGGTTATTGATGATGATTTGGGGGTTTTAGAGCGCGTCGACATTTAAGGCCACATTGCGCCCATAATGGCTGTTTGGGGTGTGTTATGTTTTAACTAACAAGGATTAAATACAGTTGAAAACTTGATGCCCCCTAAAAAAGAAACAAATCGTAGGTTGTTTACTTCGTAACATGTGGATTCAGCAAATTTTTTTAGTGTTTTTAAGCCATACTTAGACGCGTGACATGACATACGTGAAGTTTAATCTATATCAGCGGCACATTATCTTGAGAACGGAGAAGGCTGAATGTGTACAGGTGAACATTGCGGTCGCGTACCGTGGTAAGTCGCTGAAACATGATATTATGAAAACAGGACTGACATAATAGCTTTTCCCACTCAAGCTCTTGCTTCATCCTGCATCTTCACGGCGACCCGCTTGCACGGTCAGGCTGCCTGCGCCAGCCACGAGTGGGCCGCGCGGCCCCCTGGAGCGGACCCCGACCGAGCGCCCGACGCACACCCCGCAGAGGGGTCCGTACGCGAGCTAAGGCTGAGCGGTTGGCCCCGCAGGACAGTGTGGTCCTGCCCCACCGTTATCCATTCTCCACTTCTGATCGAAATGACAAATGCATTAACCAAACTGGCACAGCTCATGCTTACCTGGCTCAAGGGATGCCACTATCACGAAGGCGGTTTCCCCAGGGTGAGGCTCTTCCATTCAGGCACGTCGGTTACGTTGGTCCCTTTGATTACCCAAAATCTGGGTGGTTTGTTAGTACAATTGGTGATAGCGAGGTAATGTTCGTGGTTCAACCCTAGGATATTTACGACTTGAAATTAATGTGGGTTGGTCAGTGGGGCGTTGTCTTTTGTGACCGGATAGGTTTAACCTACCGTGCAAGGTACGCTAACACTGAGTGGTATCTATCGACCAAGAGACCTCTAATTTTGTTCAGCCTTTTGACTACGCACAGACGCGCGAAATATTTTCTTTGGCATAAGGGGTGCCTACACTTACCAAGACTGTGATCGGTACAAGGCTATGACTTGTACACGCTCAAGATATAAAGCTGTGGGCACTCCTAGTCACTGAAACCATGACCCAGGGACTCGGCATTTGGCGGATGGAAATAATCACACAAGCCAATAATCACACAAGCCATTCATTCGCACTCCATTTAGCTAAGTCCAGTGCCAGGGTGCACCTGAGTGCCTTTAGTAGGCATTCCATGATGGGTAGAGCCATGATTATGGGTAAATGATTGGGACCCCCAAGAACCTACCTATCGTTTTGGTTGACCATCACTTGAAGTATTGTTGATCATATGAATATATATCTGCAAGAATGCTGCCGCTTAAAGAGAATGTTCCACATTCGTATGGCTTTTTGAACTGAAATAGCCATCTTTAGGACCTTTCGATGCAGTTCACGGTCATGTCCTTTTTAAGACCCAGAACGACCTGGTTTCTGAGTTAAACGCCCGCAAAAGTGCGAAAAGGTTTATTTGGAGCCTATTTCAAAGTTGCCGCGGCATTAATGACGTCATAGAAACGCCATGTGACGTGCATTCGCAAAAGCGATGATGCGGCACATATGATGCAATGCGCGGAGGACCATTGGTTGTTAGCAAGATTTCGCTGCTGAATGCGTGTCGCGAACGTAAGAGTGAGCACTTTCGGGGTGTGCGGCACTCGTCGTGAACGGGTCATTTTTCCTTATTTCTAAGCCACCGGTCACTGTTACAAAAAAGAACGCCACTGTCTGGAAAAAGTACGGCACCCAAAAAACGGGCACTCTCGAGAAAATCTGTCTTTTTTCCCCTGATTGCGTTTGTTTTCCTATTGACGTGTCTCTTACAGGCAGCTCGGTTGGCGTACTGTGTACCGGAGCACAGAGCCTTGCACGGGTTTATGGGTTAGCAAGGCGTTATAAAATTAGGGAAACATTGCAGTAATTTTAGACATGTGTTTCACTAAATATTTCACACATATTGTACCTCAAATTTAAATCTTGAACACAAAATTGTGTTCTACAAGTACAACCTCTTGGGCCGTATTACCATGAACCCCCATTGGGACTTGGTTTTGAAGGGAGGCCGCGGTGGAAAGCGGTGTTATGACCAAAAATCTGTGCGGAAATTGCGAGAAAACCTGCTGATTGATAGTTCCGCGACATGTGCGAGTGTGAAATCACACTTAATTGACAAAAGAATGCGAATCGGGGACTTGAAATGTGTGTGATCACCGGTGGTGTGTGCCAGTGGCTTGTATTGATCTTGATGTGATGGGGAGTGTGCGTGCGAGGTTTGTGCCTCTGGGAGAGAACAATGTTTTGGCAGTCTTTAAGTCTACTGACTCCCAAGAAAATGTGATATATTGATACCTGCCTCTACCTTTGATTGTGGTTGAACATGACAAAGAAACGCTGGCAAAATAAGAAAAGCATTAGCACTTACGTTGCAGGGGTGCATAACGGCAAGCTGGTAATTCATTATGATCTTGCCAACATTTTGAACCTATTGAGGCATTGCAGCATGTAATTAATACATTGCATGTCTTTATATCAGCAAATAGTTTTGGCAGTAGGGGCTGGTGCGTGGAGCTCATTAATGCACATGCTCAGTATAAGCTCACATTATCGGGCTTTGCAAAATTGTCTTTCCGTGAATGATTCTAAAAATATAGAGCTGTATTATTACTGATGCACATTGTACTGTCTTCACAAATTTTGCATGCATGCCAGCTCGTGAGTCATCAGTGTCAGTATATGCAGCTTGCTTGAGATGCTGGGTGCTGAGAAAGGTGGAAAAGTATTGCTCTTGGTGTCTTGGATAGCACTTTATAATATTTCTACCGTGAGCATTGTGTGCAGTGGGAGCTTCATCACTTCCTTACATTTTGCCCATCCAACCAAAACTACATGCACTTGTCATGTTCCCAGCCTTGTGCTAGGTCAGCATGTTTGCAGTGTCATTTCATACATGTAAAATTTTCCTACTATGGCTGCAGCTTATTGTATGACTGTGGAAGTGGAAGATGTGTTTGCAACTTTTCACCTACGTTTTGTGGATTCCCAAAATAGACTAAGCAAGTGATGCCACTTCTTGGTTGTCTGCTTTGCTGAAAGTGATTTGTAGATTACGTCATATGTTTGTGGTCAGCCATATGTTAGGTGGGGAGTTAATATTAAGAGGACACTTGACCCATCTTTTCATGATGGAATTTACTATGAAGGCAGCATGGTTTGCAGTACAAACAACATATCATTGTCCATTATGTCCTGTCACAGTACAGCACTAAGGTAATGTCTCAGCTGGTGACCCGTGCCATTAGTACCACATAGGTCGACTACTCTATGTCAAGCCTATGAGACAGCAGCTTTTAATTTATGAATGACTGTTAACAACTGATTTAATAATGCCAAAGGGCTAGCAACAGCAAGAATGTCATTGCACCTCAATGGTTATATAAGGGTTAAAAATCACTTGCATAAATAATCCCAAGGAAAAATATTCTTGGTAGCCAAACCTTACCACCTTTACCGTAGGAATAGTAATGTTTTGGTAATTAACTCATAGCGACGTTACAGATCTGTTGATGCTCGCATGACACCGCATTTCCAGTTACAAACAATAAAGAAAGGTATTACTCTGCACACTACATGATATCAACGTCAGGACTACAGCACTACAGGCAACGATGGGTCGACAATGAAGCATTGACAAAATCATCAACAGCACATCAGCAACAGCAGCAGCACAGCATATCATGTTTTGGTATTAATAATCTTCCATAAAAGCTGGCGATCGCTACGTTGCGTATTTCAAACAGTCCACCAAAGCTTTTCTCACGGCCAGCACTAAGACAACAAATCCACAAACAAACCACCCACTTATCTTCCACCCGACACAGCCCCCGCGACGAGAGTGGTCGGTTGGCGTCAGCTTCCGCGTGTTTCGAGGTATCCATTAGGTCTGGCTGCCAGATGCTACCAGGTATTGCCGTCGTCACAAAACTATCCTATGGCGCCATCAAACAATGACGTAATGGGGCGCATTTATACAAACTTTGAAATTTTGCTGCTTAACGTCGTTTTTGAACCTTGAAAGCTTACCAATTGCTACAAGTAAGCTTTTCCCATCATATCTGATGCTGCCTCGATATCTTCAAATGTGGAACATTCCCTTTAAGGTTCCCTGTTTCCTTATCATTAATGAAGGAGACGAACGGTTTGCAATGGGTCATACGATAATGGGCGCTGCGAGCATTTATCACATGGCATCCGATGATGATGGCTTTACATTTTACACTTCCAGTGTTTCAGAAACCGTTGCACGTCCAGTCACATGTTCAACTGCTCTGGCTACGGCATCGCTTCGCTAGCAGACTTCCTGATAGCAAAGTCCGACATTGCTGTTTATCTAAATTGCTAGTGACCTTGTGACCTCTACAGGTGTATGGCGAAGGCCTTTCAGTTTGCATCGTGCTTAGATTGCTATATATGTAACTCGGCTCACTTAAAATGAACGTTTATGCCTCCGAGGTGTCTTGGTAAATTTACGTTGGCAGAAATCAACATACCCAAAGTAATGCCGTGAAGTGATGCTTGTGTGCCATCTAAGGTATATCAATACAAAACATTTAGTTGGAGGCAATCCTACCTTCCTTTACATCTGTCTGTTTCACTTTCAGTTATCAAGAGCACCACGCTCAGACAGCAGAATTATGTCGATCTTCAGCGCGCCCTGACAATATGATCATCAAGCCGGCTTTACCTTTTGTTTGTTTAACGTTCCAGTTAGTTCGGGCACAGTCACGCGATTAAACTTGACATAATGACAAAACAACTTGACAAAAATGACCAAAAATAGCCCCCCAAAAGATGGGGTTGGAAATACTACCTTACTACCAAGCGTTTGTACGCTTGCTTTGCTGCGCTAATGAAAAACGTAGATATTTTAATTATATATTTTCTGCAGTTAAAATCACAGTTTTGGGTGCCCTGGTTGCTGAGATATGGCGCAAAATGTGAAAAACGACCGGTAACGGCCAAATTTCTCTTGCCAGCTCGTGCACGCGTGACTTGCAGCACGTGCAGCATCGCAACTCATGCACCATGATTGTCTGTTCTATTCCCTATCAATGCAGGATACTACGAATTGGATCCGTGCTTTGGGTGTTACGGTGTGTCACAAAACTGAAAACATGTTGAAAGACGAAATTCAACCTTTCCGGAGTGTGTGGATGTGACACGTGACCCATGCATGTGTACACAGGGAAACACGTGACAGATCGTTTGATTCCTTTGATTCCGCGGCATACCGGACCCGTGTGACTACGTGCTCTGATTGTGTTATTGTGGCGTGAAAAGTAGCAACCGGAGCAGCCAGTGTGCGTGTCGAACGTGGCACGTGCGAGATCAAATCTTGCACCACGTGATTGTTAGATTGTCTATCGAAGTCGCTTCGTGCCCTCGGTGCCGCGAGATCGCAAAACTTGCAACGCGTCGAAAATAGCGATATCATATTTCAGCACGTGGGTGTCATGATACGTGGCACGTGTAACCAATCAGTGCCACCTTACTCCTTCCATTCCTTATCGAAGCGTGCCACTCCGAAGTGTGTCGGTATCCCGGGCGCCGCGATTTGGTACAAAATGTGTAAACCCGTGGGAGAGAGCAAAATCCATTGTTCAGCTCGTGCAACGTTAACGTATGACCGTAGCAATTCGAATGACACATCTTTTTGTGCCACTTTCGGGTCGCTACCACCCGCTGTTGTCGAGATATCGGCGCGTGGTGGCATAATCAGTCGGAGGC